GTGAAAATTGAAAAAATAAGCAATGGCAAAACTCAAAAAGCAAATAAAAAGCTGTGCTGCTGGGGTAAATGGAGCCAGGAAGGAAGCAAGGAGGAGGATGGGAGTGCAATGCTAGCTTGTAATCCTTGGTTATGACACTCTGGACACAGGCATCAGGAATGTCCTGTTCCCACAAGGTTACAATTGAAAGCAGGGGCGGCCAAGAATTTTGTGGGCTTTGAGGGCCCAGAATAACAAAACTAAGATCCTGGTTTGGACTTGGACCCTGGGAGGCCTGGGAGGAACAAAAGGATTTTTTCTTGAAGGAGGGAGCAGAGGATTTTGCTACTGGAGGCTTTGACCTCTGTGTTCAGGTATCAGTGTGAGATTCATCTAAAAAGGCGTTCCTTAGTAGAGAGCATACATTAGAGGTGCTTTTTGCAAGAAGACTCTGCAGAACTGCATTTTAACCACAGGAGCCATCGCATGTGGACGGAGAGGAATTTGCAGGTATCTGACAAAATCTGCAAGGTCTACAGGAAAGTGCTTTTTAGAAAGGTGGGGTCTGTCAAGATGGACCCAGGGTTCCTAGCCACAGATTTTGATCACACATATACAGTCTGACTCACCACCATGGTGGACAAAAGCAAGTTGCATACCAGGGCCTGCAAGGCAAATAGGGTCTTAAGGACAGCCTCTAACCTCTATTCCACATGGTCTTTGAAAAGAAGAGCATCCTGTTCAGGGATCATTAAAGTCTTGTTCCAACAAAAGATAGCTGCGTCTATGACAAGCACTGCCTGACATACTCACAAATTAAGGTGCTTAAACACACACTCGGATAACACTCACATAACAACTGACAGAGCGCCGTACCACAGTACTTCTTCTGTTTGTGCATACAGACAAGGTGCAGCAGCTCCCCTTCCTCAAGTCCCATGCTAACCCTTGCAAAGACAGGAGCTGCAACACTGGGCACCTCATTGCAGGGACTAGTTCTGGCTTACCTCATCCTTGGTGCAGCTGTGACCAGACAGGAGCCTTGGCCATTTAAAAGGGGACGTGCCTCAACCAATTTTTGCTCTCCCAGTCCGAATATGCCCTGAAGAGGGTCTTCAGGGACAGGGCTCTACTGAGATAGTCCATTACCTCTGGACTCGTATAGCACGCGCTGCAAAAAGTGCCAAGGTGAGTGCCTCACGTAGGATCTAATGATATTAAAGACTGGACCCACACCTTCCTTTTAGTAGGGTCTGGGTACGTGTACGGTCTACCAATGCACAGTTGAGGATAATTATCTGGATAGCTACTGAGAAGTATGGTTGGCTGTGAGCAGTTTAGGGAAAACTTGCTAGAAGAGTCTGAGCAGAAAAGGATGTACTTCTCACAAAGCAGAGAGAAGGTGTCCATTACCTAAAGGACACTAGCAAAAAACTGAGGCAAGTTAGGAGTGGAAGAGATTATACAGGGATGTCCTTTGATTTGCCAGTGCCCAATCACCTGAAAGTTGCTGTATAAACCAATTGGTTCCAGAATGAACTCCCTGTGTCTTGTGATGTATAAAACTGTTTGTCAGATTTTTGGGGGGCAGAGTGGAGAAGGACTAGAACCCTTGTCAGGTTTTTACTGCTATACAGAGCTACATTATAGAAATGTTCCTTTACTTATCTGTATGGTGACAATGATCTTACACTTCAGGAGGGAAAACATCCAACATCCAACAAAGACAGCAATAAAAAGTTCTCTGCAGTTCTAGCCTTACGCAAAAGAATAAAAAGGAAGAAGCAATTTCACTTCTGTGAAGATTCTCCACCCACCATTTTCCCTCAGTTTGGTGTGGTTGTTTTTAGGAAAATTTCTTCTCGTTTGCGAAAATGCATTACAAATCCAAATTCATACAGGATCAGTCACTAAGAGTAGATCCTCCCTCTAGTTACTATATGTACTGTGCAACAGCATTAAAAGGAGTACTATGAGGTGAGTGCTTTTCACTCACCTCATAGTTCTAGCCGACCTGTGACAATGAGACTGTCACAGGTCGGCTCAGTAGATCGGGAGGTGAGCGAACACATACCGGGTTCGCTCACCTCTCAATCCTGTCACGGCTCTCTGCCGTGATAGGGGGAGGGGCTGGATTCCCCTCTCCCGCTCCGATCTGCCAGCGCTGACTGGCGGAACAGACGGGGGAGGGGGCGGGTAGAGCTGGCTCTGCCTCTAGACAGGCAGAGCCAGCTGTCACTCACGCAGCTGGGCGGATCCCGACATCTAAGTCGGGATCCGCTCCGGCTGCGGCGTCTCAGTATACCGCGAGCTGTAGCTCGCAGTATACTGAGCTTAGGGTAACGGGAGGGCGCTAGTTTGTGTCCTCTCGTTACCCTAAGGAGAACTATGGGGACAAACACTGACCCCATAGTTCTCCTTTAAAGTGTACCTAACTCAAGGACAAAAACGTAATATATTGTAGCTTACCACTCCTTAGATGTAGTGGCAGCATAAGTTCTTTTTATCAGTCCTTTTTTCCTTGTTTTCACTTGGTGATCCTGCCAGTAACACACTTCATGTCCTAGTGTAACGATGCTCACTTGCTGTACTATACTAAACCAGCAACATTGCCACCCTAGGTTGCACTATAAACCCCCCTTTAGTTTTATATACACTTTAAGAAGGAAGCACAGTGCGTAGAGGAACAGTCTGAAAGCTATGATGGATGGTCGTTAACAACGCGGTCTCAGCTGGCCACCTGAGCCACGGCGTCAGGGGTATGAGGCGGTGTCAGTGCCTGGATGAGTAGCTGCACCACCCATCCAGGCTTGAGAAAGAGGCAGAGCCTCGAAACGCGTAGCCGCCGATAGTTGGACACTCTCCTTGTCCTTTCCTCTCATCCTCCGTTGCTTGTGACAGTTTGGATATACCGCTCGCACAGACCCCCGAGGTCCCTGAACGGTCCGGCACTGACACCGCCTCATACCCCTGACGCCGCGGCTCAGCCTGGCCAGCTGAGACCGCGTTGTTAACGACCATCCATCATAGCTTTCAGACTGTTCCTCTACAAACACTCCCGGCATCGTAAGATCATTTAACCAGCTCACATGCGACATGCTGACAACTGAAACTTGAGTCTTCTTTACAGTAGTAGCTCTCTTTCAATGTGTGGTTTTGTTCTGGCAGCTCACTCGCATAGGGGCCGAATGGCAGTGAGTGAATAGCTGAATGCCACCGAGCGGTATTCGGCTCAGCTATTCTACTCGGTACCTCAGTGGTACTGAGCAGAATAGCAAATAGTGAAAAAAGTCCTGAAAAAAAGTAACATTTTTTTTTTTTAAATGTAGATAAATATTAAATTAAAAAATTAAATAATTGGGTGGAGCTAGCAGTGACATCTAGCTGCGCCCAACTGTTTCCTACTGGGTGGCACCTGTTAGAGTCTTCTTGCAGGTCCCGGCCAATGAATAACAACTGGGCGGAGCCGGCTGTGAGGTCACAGCCGGCTCCGCCTAGTTGTTATTGTTTAATGACAGATCAGTGTCCCCAGGTCATTTGGGAAAAAAGAAAAGGCTCCGGCGGCCGAAGAGAGCCAAAGGATCAGGATAAGCTATGGCTGGATCCTTCGGCTCTTTAGGTTCCTTTGTGAATAGACCCCCTAAAGTTCATTGCCAAGTACATTTGACCTGCAGTTGATCTCCTAATCGTCATCAAACTGCTTTTGAATTTCAATTGATTTGATTGGGGAGAGGAGTTTGGATGTGAACAAAAGCTCATCAATGCAATTAATGAACTAATCCCAGTCATGTTCACATCTAAAAAACACAGGACTATCGATTCCTTATAAAACTGACATGGAGGAAATGTTCATTGCAAACAGTCATATTCATACCACCATTCTAACTTCAAATCCTTAATATATTTTACTACATACCATATATCCTCTAATCATGTACAAACATTGAATTCATTCACATTAAATCAAATAACTTCAGTCACAGGTCCTACAAAAATGTAAATTTTTAATGACACTAAACCTATTTATGAAAACCATAAACACAAGCTGAGCATTCAAACAACAAGTATACCGTATTACTAAAACATGTATTAACTATGTTAGGTTGCCATATACATAAGGGTACACCACACTCTTGTTCAGAGGTTAATTACTATATCTTGTAAAACATACAAATGTATCTAAACCCAGGAAGAAAACTGTAATGTAATAGATTACGAGTCCTTGGATGTGGCCAAATTAGGGGGAATTTATTAAAACTGGAGTAGCCAGAATCTGGAGCGGCTGTGCAGAGTAACCAATCAGATTCTCTCTTCAGCTTGTTCAGTTAAGCTTTGAAAATGAAAGCTAGAACTTGATTGACTAGAAGTTGCTTTAGACTTAGTAAATTCCCCTAATTTTGTCCTAGGGTGACAATAGTCACTTGTTGTACTGATTCCATGGCTGAAGGTTTGTTAAGGCTACAGAACATCTCCTCATCTCCCTAATATAGTGGGGTGTGCTTGGTAGTCCTAACACACTTGGTAACATTGAGATATTATTACTGAGCGCAGCACAGGACCAATAGGTTTGTTTTTTTGGGGAGGGGTTTTGCAGTTACCAAACAAATATAACAAAACACTTTCCCTTTTATATGCAACTCATTAAAAGACAGCAAATAGGATAAGCTTATTTAAGGATTTACATATACTTTAACTCGGTGTAGCTGGAACAAGGCATGGCAAAGGAATGCACCTGGCTGCACACCATTTTGAATTCATACAAGAATATAAATGGATGAATACCTAGATACATAAAGTGTAATACACAAAATTAAAACACCAGGATAAGAATCCTTATCGGCAAAAAAGTGACAGTCATTTTGGGTCCAAAGAGATGTGAAAATTATATAGTCACATGGCTGAAAATAAAGATCCCTATTGTTGTGTACTAATGTAAAGCTTAATAAAATGAGCCTTCATTCTGTTAAACAGTGTGAGCTTCAACAACCAGCTTCATAATATGACAAGTATAAAACCTTTACCTGACATGTTTGCAAGACTTGTTCCGAGAGACTGCAGAATGAGAGAAAGTTCTCTGACAGCAGCTGCGGCTTCCTCTCCACACGTCATGTCAGGTTCCATTACTATTTCCATAAGTCCAATTCCTAGAAAGGTAAACATCAGGCTTTATTATACAAATGATTTGTCTCCACCATTAACAGTACTCACTCACTGGCAGTGGGACAAATTAAGTGAACTATGCCATATTAATTGTATCCTGCACTGCCATGAGCTAATGTACAGGTAGCCCATAGAAGCCTACAAAGAGGGGCTAGCGTAGGCACAGCAGGTCTGTCGGCTTGTGCACATCACAGATGTTCAAATGAATTGTGTATTCTGTGGTCATGTGACCACAGAATAAACCATTTGAAGAAAGTACAAACCATTTTTTTTAAAAAGATAACGGGGTGAATTTATCAAAACCTGAGCAGAAAGTATAGAGCAACTGCCCATAGTAACCAATCAGCCTCTCTCTTCAGTCTGTTTAGTTAAGCTTTGAAAATGAAAGACTGAAGCTGATTGGTTACTATGGGCACCTGCTCCAGATTCGGTCTGCTCCAGTCTTGATAAATGTCCATTAATGTGTTTACATGCACATGAACTTTAAGGGCATCCCAGTCTTAGTCCAGTTGGCCCACCCTTTGCAGATATAACAGCTTCAATTCTTCTGGGAAGGCTGTCCCAGGTTTAGGAGTGTGTCTATGGGAATGTTTAACCATTCTTCCAGAAGCGCATTTGTGAGGTCAGGTACTGATGTTGGATGAGAAGGCCTGGTTTGCAGTCTCCGCTCTAATTCGTCCCAATGTGTTCTATGGGTTTGAGGTCAGGACTCTGTGCAGGCCAGTCAAGTTCCTCCACCCCAAACTCGCTCATCCATGTCTTTATGGACCTTGCTTTGTGCACTGGTGCACAGTCATGTTGGAACAGGAAGGGGCCATCCCTAAACTGTTCCCACAAAGTTGGAAGCATGAAATTGTCCAAAATGTCTTGGTATGCTAATGCCTTAAGAGATCCCTTCACTGGAACACGCTGGCCACATGACGTTTGGAGGTCTGTAGCTATTGACTCTGCAGACAGTTGGTGACTTTTGCGCACTGTACGCTTCAGCATGCCCTGACCCCGCTCTGTCATTTTAGGTGGCCTACCACTTCGTGGCTGAGTTGCTGTTGTTCCCAGTTGCTTCCACTTTGTTATAATACCACTATCAGATGACCGTGGAATATTTAGTAGCAAGGAAATTTCACGGATGGACTTATTGCAGAGGTAGTAACCTATCACGATACCACGCTTGAACTCACTGAGCTGCCGAGAGCGACCCATTCTTTTACAAATGTTTGTAGAAGCAGTCGGCATGCCGAGGTGCAGGATTTTATACAACTGTGGCCATGGAGGTGATTGGAACACCTGAATCCAATGATTTGGAGGGGTGTCCCAATACTTTTGGCAATATAGTGTGTGTGTGTGTGTGTGTATATATATATATGTATTGTGGAGAGTCAGCATGGCTGAGAGCAAAGAAGGGGTTAACTTGGGAGGCCAGAAACTCCAGAAACAGCCCTCCTGTCCATACTAAATGGCTCTCTTATCGCATCTTTTTCCCTCCACATCTTTTTCCTTCCTTCCCTATTTTGTGTAACTATTCCTTAGTTTTCTCTTGGTTGGTATATTATATGAGAAGATGACGGCAAACCTACTGGACAAAATACACATATCTTGATCAAATCTGGACCAAATGGATCAAGCATTTTCTCCTCCACACTTTTAATAGGTGTCTCCTACAATTGTCAGAAGAAAGGATTTCATGCAAAGGTTGTCCCTCCGTAGGCCATGAGTATCCTTTTCCAACCTCTCCTCCATCTTTATTCCTCATCCCTTTTTCGTTCTTTTTGCCCTCCTATCTTTTTCATTCATTTCCTATTAAATGTGTTTGTGACAGTTCCTTATTTTTTTCTTGATTGATGGTATTATTTTACGTTATCTGACCGTCTCAATTGTTCATTTTGTGCTGTTAAACCCAATATCTATTAAAATCTAATGTATAGGAATCAATATGTATAAAAACATGTATAATTGGCTGTTGCAAAATGCACTGCCTATATACAATACACAGCTGTCATGAAAACTGGATAACACAGCGATAGAAAACATAAACATACCAAAATCAGCAAGCAATCATGTGTCCTGCATTTTCTCTATCAGAATTGTCCCAGGATTTATACAATTTTTGACATTTTCACTGTTAGTATAACAGCAGCACACTGAAACACCTCAGCCCTCTCCTTGGGATCAGCTTATGAGCAACACAAACCTCTCATTTTCCCTCAACATTGTTGTGAAAAGGTGATAGATGGGTGAAGTTCTTCAGTTCACCAAGATGCAGAATTAATAGGAGGCCATGCTACACAGCTGATTCTTCATACTGCAGTACTTTATAATGATATCAGAAAAACTCAACACCGTCATGATCCCCTGAATGGTAATCCTAGAATCTCAGTTTGGATTTAACAAGTCTAAGCCTTAGTTTATTGAAGATGTCAGTCTTACTTGGCCTTTCAATTGCATAAAAGGCATAGCAAAATACACTTTACTCAGTGAAGAAGGCATTTACTTTTTTTTGCAACCTGCAATAATTAAGTGAATAAAATTGCAGCAAACTGGAACTTATATTTAACACTTGCAGGGATATTAATTCTTTCTCAAGAGTTTGTTCAATGCAATTATTACATCCTAATGTTAGAAGCACATAACAGTTTGCAACTGGGATCTTAAAATTCAAAGCATATCCATTTACATCAGATCCCCCATGGACTAACATGGGGTTTGTCAGTTTCCGATTTTTCCTCCATCGCAAGGTGGAGGAAAAAACTGTACGATCACAGCAGTCACAGTGGTGACACCTGCTCCATACTGCTGTGATCAGCCAATCTCCTGATCATCCCATGTGAAGGGGGCCTAAAGCAGTGATGTCAAACTTGTGTTTTGCAGCTAAATACTGCTCAAAACATTATAGGGACCCTTTCCCAAGGTAAGTTACATTTATTACTATAATGTTAATTACTCATGTGCTGTCATGTTACTGTTGAATTATGTAGGTGGGGCCCTCATAACGCAGTCCCTTGTAGATGTATTGCAATCAATTCGGTCCTCTGTTTCATTTGAGATTGACATGTCTGATAGAAATGTTACCTCATCTCATCTATGGCACTGGATGATACCTTTCAGTTTACTAGCTATGGCAGTGGCCATCCTGCAACACCATCACTTGCATTTGTTCAACTTTATGGAGCTTACTAATAACTTATTGTAACTCGCCTCTAGACAATCACACCACAGCTGAGAGTCCAGGGAAGGCCATGTGTCTCAGGAAGGCTAGCATCCCCCAACAGATTGCTACCCTACCACTGACTGTTTGTTCCTCAGTTTTGTTTTTGGGGTAAAAGTTTACTTGGGATGAATTTTTTTCGGTTTTATTTATGTACTGGGTGCACAGGGTTTATATGATGTGGATGTTGCTCTATACTACTTTGATTCATGCACACTGCAACATCTCTCTAAGCCTGTCACCAGGGCACAATGCCCCACTCTCGCCATTAAGCTAAATATGTAACTTTGTTATGGGAAGTCAAACTTAGAACAAGTTAAATTGATGTCCTGGAATTTTTGGGGGACTAAATTCCATATTTAAGAGCCCTTATGCTCCAATACATTAAATCCTACATCCCACATATCCTCCTCCTACAAGACACCTAATGGGTGTTTTAAACACAGAAAAAAATGGCAGGCTACTGGCCATGCTGACTGAAATGATAGACCTCTCACTACAATCCCAGAGTTCCAGACCTCAAGCCAGAGGCAATACTCAATGAATTTGCTACATAGTTTCCCACACTATCCATCCTTTACCTAATTAAGACCCTACAGTAATGACCTCTCAACTGCACACAATAGCTTTGGATTGGCTCTCGGATCTGGAATGCAATTCTTGAAATACTTATCGCTGAAATTGAGGTGCTCACAGCCATTAGATCCTTTCGTAACAGAAAGGCTCCTGGGCCAGAAAGGCATCTCCATTACATTTTACAAAACACTTCCTACCATACGTGCACCACATACACCAGATGCCTTGAAGATCACATCTTACATCCTTTCATGAGTGACACATCACCCTCATGCACAGAACTCCAAAGGACCCAACTCTCTCTGCCTCATACAGACCAATTGCATTACTGAACTGTGATTTGCAAATCCTTACTAAAACATTCTCTGAGAGGCTAAATTAAATCCATGTTTTATAGCACATAGATCTCTGCATCAACATCAATCAGCACTTCTATAGCAGCATGCATTCTGAGGAGGAAGGGCCAGCAGAAAGGGTCCATTCACACTATCGTACCATGTGGTCCCATTTATTCTGAATGGCACCCCTTGCCAATGGACGTGCACTGCCAAATATGCTACATGCACCTTTTCTGGTGTATTAGGCAGACCATTGAAAATAACTGGCTGCCTAAAACGAAAGACACATTAACGGGAGTGTGCTAGCGCAGCACAACAGTTTAAATAGGCCCTATAGGCCAGTCAGATTTGCTGACAAGCTGCTGCTCTTTCACTGTCTAGTCGCACGCTGGATGTAGGAGCTAACAAAGTTGTGTTGTTTACCTGCAGTAGACAAAAGGGCTCAAGCACACGGGTGTAAAAAAAATGTTGCATTCAGTTCTGTACAATATATAGTTTTTCATTTTTATGGATCTAAGCGCAGGAGTATTGTATGTTAAGGCTCCTGTACTTTTACCGGCGACAGGTGTTTTTCTACGTGCGACATTATGCTGAGGTGTGAACGGGGGCTATAGAAATTAATGGGATTTCTTGTTTTAAGCCTTTCAGTGCTGAAAAATAAGCGCGAGAAAAGCCTTGGTGTGAACAGGGCCGGACATACACATATCTGTATTGTGCTTAATAAACGTGCACTGCTTTCAGTATACTGCTACAGTATGTAAAATCAACTCTTCCTTAACCATATAAAACAAACGGGTATTACATGAGCTTGCAGTCTGAATCACACTGCACAGACACTACTTTGAGCAACACACACTTCTACAAGGTTCCTTCTTTGGGACTTTCTAAGTCCAAAGAGTCATTGTCCATAGGAAAGGGGGCAGGTTCTGAAGCTAACCCTTTTTAATCCAGATAAAACTGCCTCTATGGAAATTGTGTGCACCACATAAGACACAGCGGCAGTGATTCATACCATTTATGTTCCCAGGGTGCATGTTTAGGAAGGTCAGTGTGTCTTGTGCGGGGCTGGGGATCCCCAGACAGAAAGTGTGCCTGCTGCAATGACATTCAATGAAAATTCAGAGACACACAATCAGGAATGGGGGTGGGGGGATTAAACACCAGCACAGTTTCCAACAAAAAACAGAGGCAGAAACAGATTAAACAGTTAGGGCTGGAGTTCTGCTTTAAATTGTATTACTATCACAAGAGGCTTACAAGACTCATGTGGGCACTCTTTATGGGAAGCATCAGCGTCTAGAAAACCCCAGATGCCCCCTCCTTTGGCCCATGCAGATCAGGGCAGAGAGTCATGGTTATCACATGGCTACCTCATCTGGGATATGACAACTCCCAACCCAGAGGTTCTCAGAGCTGCTGCTTCCATGTTCATTCAGTCTAGAGGAAATTGGTGAACTGTTTACTGATCTCCTTCTGCTTCCCCTCTTGAATCCCCTTGCAGGTGGCCCAGGTTCAAAGAGGAGCAAGGTAAGCCGGGCAACCACAAGGGGGGGAGAGACCGCAGGCAAAGGAGTGTTCTCCCTAAGGAGCTTTTGACAGACGGCTGCCAAAAACAACTGGACAGAAGGATTAGCAAAATCCTCCCAGGGAGAACACCGATTTATAACTTTAACTACACACCAACAATCTTTAGCTGCTGTACTGGAGCATTGCAGAAGGAAATATGAAAGAAGTGCTAAACAATACTTTATTTATACATCTGTATGCAGCCCTGAATAATAAAAGTTCAGAACAGGAGTCCCAGCACTTTCATAGGCTGAGGATACCAGCATTAATGACTATTATTAAATCCTCTACAATGTTAGTATAACAGTAAGTGACAGTTGTTTGACCGCTGAATGTGTCAATCAGTGCTTTCATGCAAAAAGTCTTTGTATTCTAAAAATAATGGATTCAATAAAAGGTAATTACATTGTTTTTTGAAGAGTTTGAAAAACTAACGCAGAATTGTGGATGCCAACCTAGAAGCCAGCAGGAAATTATAAGGAGTGGGAGCACATATGCTAAGGAAAGCTTTTAAAAAAAGTTATAGCTGAATTCCAGGCAGATAAAAAAAAAAGACTAATGCAGTTATGTATTTTTAAAAAAATACTGACATGTATTTTTAAATGCAACTAATGTAAACAAACACCAGAATTTGTCTTGGTATTAGTCTGATGCAATGCCTTGTGTAAATCAATGACATGCTGCGGCTGTACTCAGTCTTTGTCCAGAGGTGTACATCGATATCTGTACACAAGTACACACTCGGGGCACAGCATTTACCAGAGTAAATCACAACACCTGTGGCTCTCGGATGCAGATATCCGGCCATTTTTTATAGCACACAGATCTCTGCATTAATGACAATGAGCACTTATACAGCTGCATGCAGGCTGAGGAGGAAGGGCCAGCACAAAGCGCCCATTAAGATCATCCTACTGCAGTAAAGTATGTTACGTGTGTTAGCGTTATATGGTGCCATTTATTTCTAAATGGCACCCCTTATCAATGGACGTTAATTGCCAAATCTGCTACAACCCCAATTCCAAAAAAGTTGGGACGCTGTGTAAAATCTACATTAAAACTGAACGCGATGATTTAAACCCATATTTTATTCACAATAGAAAACTTACCAAATGTTTAAACTGAGAAAATGTACCATTTTAAGAAAAAAAAATAAGGTCATTTTAAAATTGTTGGCAGCAACACTTCTCAAAAAAAAATTTCAATTTTCAAATCTTGTTGAATCTGACGCCATGCCTAATGAATAGCACTGTCCGGTTCTGTGAGATTTGATGGTTGTGGAACCAGCTGCCTGATGGCTCTTTCAACTTCGTCCCACAAATGCTCAATTGGATTGAGATCTGTTGATTGTGGGGGCCACCTAAGCAAGGTAAAGTCTCCCTCATGTTCTTGAAACCACTCCTGCACAATACGAGCACCGTGGCATGGCGCATTGTCTTGTTGGAAGAAGCCATCTCCATTGGGATACGCCATCAACATGATAGGATGAACTTGATCAGCAACGATACTTTGGTATGTTGTGCTATTCAGACGTTGTTCCACACGAATTAAAGGGCCCAAATCATGCCAGGAAAACATGCCCCAAACCATAACACTGCCCCCACCAGCTTGAAGGGTTGTACTCATGCATGTGGGGTGCATGCTTTCATGCTGTTTCCCGCCAAATTCTCACTCTGCCATCTGTATGATGCAACTGGAAACGTGATTCATCGGACCACATGACTTTTTTCCAATGCTCGACTGTCCAATCCTTGTGTTCCTGTGCAAATTGGAGATGTTTTATCTTGTTAACTGCAGACAGCAAAGGTGTTGGAACAGGCCATTGGCTTCCATCTCCCATACGATGCAGTGTACGGCGAACAGTGCGTCCAGAGATCATTTGAGAGGATCCCCGATTAAGATCTGCAGTCATTTGATGCACTGTTGCCCTTCTGTTGTCTTGTACCAGTCTTGCCACTCTCCGTTCTGCACTAACAATGACTAGTCGCTGACAGCCACAATTCGCACGTTCAGACCCAGATTTTCGGCTGACAGTCCATTCTTTAAACACTTTAACAACAGTTGCTCTTGAACATTTAACGAATTCTGCTGTTTTGCTGATACTCGCTCCATGGCTCTGAGCGCCAACAATCATCCCACGTTCAAAGGCTGTTAAATCGCGTTGTTTACCCATATCTTCAGAAAAACATCACTTCTACTGTCGTGGTAAACAACCTGCTTCCCTATTTATAATGGTCTGGCCCTCTAGCAACTTCAGCGCAAAATTATAGCTAATTATAGCTAATTTGCCTACAAACGTCAGGTGGTCATAATAATCTGGCCACTCAGTATATAAGAACAGTGTGAATACTACATTTTCTGCAAGCTTCTGCAAAGCATTTGTGAAGCTTTCGGCATGCATCCAGCAGCTTTCTTGAAACCTTCAATGTCCCCCTCAGCTCCAGTTTGGAACTATCGCTTCTGTTGTAAAGCCGACAGTCGGCTCTACAAGTTTAAACAGAGTCCCGGCGGCAAAAGTCGCCGGGAGTCTGTTTAAACAGCCCCGATGCTGGCGACGTACACTGTACGTCGTCAGTCACGAAGGGGTTAATGGAAGTGCAGACTGTCACTTTGAAGAAGCTTCTAGCAGGCTTTCAACAAGCTTCCAGTTGTGCCAACGCTTACTGAAGCCTTCTAACAGCTTATTAAAGAGACAGTCAGCACACCCATCAATATCTGTGCTAAACAATCCCAAACTGGAGCAAAATGGTGCTTTAAATGCTATGGTAAAGATTGCCGAAAGTTCTGCAAATGCTCTTTAAAAGCTCACTTTTCACATTACTCTTAGAAGATACAAGATGAGCCCTGTGTGAACAAGGCTAACTTTCATATTTTAATATCAGCCACATTGCTTACCTGGATTTGTCTTGCCCTTGTTTTTTGAACAGTGCAACAATTTTTTTTTTTTTTAACTACATGCCCTTTATACTGGCTACTTTAGAATGCTGGAAATATCCAATCTGTCTGTAAATCCACTGATCTAATAAACATGTACAGTGAAATGGAGCCAAGTTTAAAAAAAATAAAAAATGCTGGTTTACTCACTACTGGAAACACTTACCTGCTCTGTTCAAATCAATGAGTGTCTGTCTGCTACAGTCATCATGAAGACTTTTGCCACTATCTTGCTCTAGCTGGATCTGTTTAATCCTGACACACTTGGTGACCATATCATTCCATTTTTTTACAGTTGGATAGCGGTACGTCAGCAGCCCATTAACTGCGATTGGAAGCCTTTGTTGAGTAATTTGATAGCCAGCCTGCATAATAATATAACACGTAATAGTAAAAGGCATTTTCTCTTTTTGGCTTATTACATCTGGCCATTTGGCATATGACTCACTGAACTATTCAATCATGAACAATTTGTTGCCATAGGCATCTGCTGCTATAATGGTATACGGGCATGTCATGCATTCACAATAGAAATACATCAAACTCACAAATGATTATTATGTCTGATGGAAAGAAATAAACCTAATGCCAGCGACATAAATTGATTTCTAGATCAAAATTGATTTCTAGATCAAAAATACAAAAGTTTAATGCTGTTTATACTAGATAGGACCTAAAGGCATAGACCACCTTTGAAAAAAACAACAAAATCCACACACTGATAAAAGACAAAATTAGCATTTTCTTAATTTTTTGCATTGAAGCATGAAAACCATTGCAACTGTGGTAGGCATGAAGTCTGTTATGGGGGATGAAGTACCGATGGACTAAAAGTGTGGTGACATCACTGCACTCATGCTCCACTGACACAAACAGGACTTGTAGTCTTTCCATTCACAGAACCTGAGCACCAAATTTACAACTAAACAGAAGCCTGTGGGAAGAAGAATCCTGCAATTAAAGTTAGAGGGTGGGCAGGTTAAAGATGGGAGGGGGGGCTGGGGAATGTGACATTTTTTTGTGACAACTATGTGTAACGTGAAATATGGTCCCAAAGGTGGACTATTTTTTTAACTGTAAAATCGGCAAGCAATATGTGGAGTAAGAGCTCAATTTCACAAGCACCAGATTCTAAACCCTGTCAGAGCTCTCAACAATTCTTGGACATACTTTAATAAACTAATACCAGAGAGACAGTTGTGGTTTATGAAAAGATGTCCGTTCCCCTGACACTGTCTACCGCTCTATGCGTCTACCATACCACATCTAGAAGTCAGCAAAGTTTCACCAAAAGATGACAATTATGCATTGCAACAATAGACTTTGATTAGCAAAGCACAGTAGTGCTTCCTTACACATGCTGCAGCACTGAGTTCCACTTTATGTAAATATACAGGTCCAGTCATAATGCATGTGAATAGAAGCTGATATTCATATGTTTTTGCTTGTAGCTAGGGGTCGAGCGATTATTGGATCTACTCAATTCTCATTTTTTTTAAATTATCATTATCGGTAAAATGTATGGATATAATTGATAATAAGCACTGCGAATTTCCACACAGTAAAATGTGCGCAGTGGGTGCCACTGCCTGGCCAGCATCCCTCGATCAGCTAATCGAAGGAGCCAGTCAGAAAATCTATGTAGGAACAGAGCCAGCAGCTACTGAGCCGATGGCCGCTGTCAGAATACAAAAAAAAAGCAGCAGATAGCAGGGGAAGCAATAGACAGCCTGCTATTGGCTATTTCAAATTGCAATAGCCAATAGCAGGCTGGCTATTAAACCCGTCCACTGCCTGCTGTCAATCAGCAGCAAATTCAACTCCTCTCCACTGAAATAAGCTTGCAGGAGAGGTCCTTCATGTCCTACACCTCACAGGCCTTTGCTTACCTATTGTATTGCTTGCTTACTAAGTAAAAAACTCAATACTCAGCTGAAATGCATATAATTAAGTTGCATTACCTGCCAAGGCATTTGTGTTTATGTCCATCCCGTTATGAGTATTACACAGCTTTGCCACAAAGCACAGCTTTGTCTACCAGGACAGGAGACCTGATTTGTTTCTGTTGCAGTTAAAGCCGAACCTTGGGCATGAGGCAAAAAGCCTTTTCAGTGGGGCCCCCTGCAATGCAAGGATTAACTGCTTCTAGTGACCAATGTGCCACGCTAAATACTGAAAATAATGCAAAATCAAGCATGTAAATCCAGTGAACAATGTGTGAATTTCTAAAATCACTCTTCTTAAAAAATAGTTAATGAACAGTCTTGGGATATAAAATATATATAAAATTATAAAGTACAAAATAAATTCCACTAATATAGTGTCCAAAGTGCCAAGTGTTCAACACTTAATCCATATGACTGGGGCTGGGAACTGTATTGAGCACTGAGCAGAGAGCCTCTATGAGCAGGGAGGCATGGCAGCGGTGCAGGGGGGAGAACATGTGTATTATGTGTACTGTGTATTATCTGTACTGTGTGTGTTATGTGTTGTATGTGTACTGTGTGTGTTACGTGTTGTATGTGTAATGTGCTGTTTGTGTGCTGTGTGTTTGTGTTATATGTGTGCATTATGTCTTGTATGTATTATGTGTTGTATGTGTACTGTGTGTGTTGTATGTGGGCTGTGTGTATGTGCTCAGTGAGTGGAGTCTGTGGCGTAACAACCGGGGTGGGGGGGGAAGACGGTGCAGCTGCCCCGGGCACAAGGATGGGGGCGCTGGCCAGGCAGCGAACACACTGCATGCGGAGCTGTGCGCAGAAAATGCAAATGGCGTTACGCAGAGCTTCGCGTGCAGTGTGTCTAGCAATATCCTTTACTGTGCTAAGCTGGGCAAGAGCTGAGCGTGGCTAAAGGAAAAATTAAATCTCTAGCCAATCGGCTCACATGTATGAATCCACGCCTTCCTGCACAAGTTCTTTCTGTGACATATGCCAGGGATGAGAGCTATGCAGAAAGAATTAATTTGATCCATTAAACAAATATATAATTAATACTTAATCAATATTTAATAAATAACTAATAGTTAATAACTAAATTAATATTTAATAATTAATACTTTTTTTAAATGATCCCATTAATTAAAAAAAATAACCGGCCAACTAATCGATTATGAAAACAATCAATAGTTACAGCCCTAGTCCACAATAAATCCAGAAAAAGCCATAACACTCTCCTTCACCACAATAAAGTGATCCTTAGTGACTACACCCCCAACAGAGATGCTCACCTTAAGATTAGACCTCCAGACAGGTTTAATCATGCTCCAAAGACTCACGTTTTATACCAGGTTGACTCAATAATTTCCCAGGCTTGATGCAGATCCACGCTCCCAATCCCATTAATAGAGGCAAAGATAAAAACGATCCGTAGCGTATAACCATCAAACCAGAAAAATATTTATTAATAAAATACTACTAGTGTAGTTGATAATAGGCGATAGTATAAATAAAAGATACTGCGATCTACAGCCCCCATTATCGGTACTAATGTTTCCATTCTGATCTGATCTTAAGGTGAGCATATCTCTTTTAGAGGGGGCAGTCACAAAGGATCACTTTATTGCGGTGGAGAGTGTCACGTTTTTTTTCCGGATTTGTTGTGGACAAGATAAGAAATTGTTCACAATTTTGCTTTGTTAATTTATAATGCTTGATATTGTTATATGTTGCATTATTTTCAGTATTTAACATGGCACATTGGTCACTAGAATTTCATTAGATATCTTTTTTGGATATTTTTCAGTGCTTGCAGCTAGCTATACATATTTGCGCGAGATACATTTTTTAGAAGGGTTACTTACCTTACTCCGGCACACTCTCTCAATCTGTACAACTGTTCACGCGAAGCCTCCTGTCTAAGATGCTCCTAGCCATGGTCACACACTCGACTCCTCCACATACAATGCAGGGTCAATAGCCCTGTATTGTACATGGTGATGCAGAGGGACCGCCCACAGCCTGGAGCATCAGGAAGAATAAGAGTGTATAGTAGCCATGGCTAAGGTAAGTAATATCTCCTTTTCTTGTACCTCCTAGACCTTACAAGTATTTACCCCTGCAGAGTAGGGGGAGAGCACTGCAAGGGTTTTTTATTTTGTGTCCAGAGTTGGGCTTTAAGTAACACAGATTAGACAGGAAAGTGGTAGGAGGAGGAGCAGCACACTGGTGAACTCATCTTTCTGTCGCTCTGCTCTCTTTTCCTATCAGCATGCAGCTTGTTAGCATATGCACACTGCAGCAGAGTAGACGGGCTGCTTGTGCTGCCCTCCCTCTCTTTGCTGTTTTACAGCGAATTCCAAGAGGCTAATAAGTCAAATTCAGGTACTTACACGGCTTACAATTAAAAAAGGACATTACATGATGTATCAACGAATACAGAGCTGCATTAGTTAGTGCTTTCATTTGTCTGGAGTTCAGCTTTAATGGTAAACTGCATGGCACAGCTAATCTAACATTAAAGTGCACCTGTACCAAGTCTATGGACATTAAAGAGGAACCTCACACTAACTATGCATAACATTATTTTTATAAACCACAGCACTGATTTTAACAGGGACAAGTGCTATGTGCACTGGGTCCCCTGGGAGCTTTAAGAAGTCTTTTTAATTTCTGGTGAGAATTTTTTATTTTAAAGAATTTGGCCTAAAAGACCACTTTGATGAACGAGCTATGGCTATGCAAACAGAGTGTGAACAATTAGTGACATTTTCAAAGTGTCAGGGTAATAGCTTGTCATGATACAGATTTCTGGTTCAGATAAGTCTAAATTTGTTTGAAACCCCAACAAGCCCATATCCGACAAAATGTATAGTTTGTGTCCTTACAATTGTGGGAAAGTTCTTCCATTTGACGAATCCGGACTATTTTAATAAACCATTCCTTGATGGTTGGAGAGATAGGCGTGCCTTGCGTACTTCTAGTGAAATGTAGGCAACTGATCAACTTCTAATTTCAGTAACATTCATTTAGCATTGTCCTTAGCTAAACCTCGGAAATGTTCTCTCTTTCTCCTCTTGTATGCAAAACTGTTGCTGGACAGAAGACACGTTGCAATTTCAATGCAGCTTTTAAAATGCTGGATATCACTGCATGATTAAATGCTCAGGAATAGTAGACACAGTACATTAAGTTAATTCATCACAAGAGGAGCGTTGAGAGTGTTTATACACATGTACAATGCGATTGATGGATTTCTACTCTATATCACTCTGTGCAGGAGCGGACAAGGTCACCAAAACACTGATGCATGAGCACATTTATTCTCATTAAGCTGCTCATATTTATAGAGAAAAATGATATATCAGCCTTCCTGAAAATTAAACTATAATAATTAGCATCTGGCCATCTGGAGATCTCCTTACCTA